CCCTTTATCTGATAAGACATTTGCAAATATCTTCTCCCATTCTGAAGGTTGCCTTTTAGTTTTGTTGACTGTTTCCTTTGCTGTGCAGGAGCTTTTTATCTTGATGAAGTCCCGATAGTTCATTTTTGCTTTTGTTTCCCTTGCCTTTGGAGACATGTCTAGCAAGAAGTTGCTGCAGCCAAGGTCGAAGAGGTTGCTGCCTATGTTCTCCTCTAGGATTTTGATGGATTCCTGTCTTACATTTAGGTCTTTCATCCATTTTGTGACAGAAAATGGTCCAGTTTCATTCTTTTGCATGTGGCTGTCCAATTTTCCCAACACCATTTGTTGAAGACACTGTCTTTTTTCCAATGGATATTCTTTCCTGCTTTGTCCAAGATTAATTGACCATAGACTTGAGAGTCCATTTCTGGGTTCTCTATTCTGTTCTGTTGATCTGTGTGTCTGTTTTTCTGTCAGTACCATACTGTCTTGATGACTACAGCTTTGTAATATAGCTTGAAGTCCAGAACTGTGATGCCTCCTGCTTTGGTTTTCTTTTTCAACATTACTTTGGCTATTCGGGGTCTTTTCTGATTCCATACAAATTTGAGGATTGTTTCTTCCAGCTCTGTGAAAAATGCTGGTAGTAGTTTGATAGGGATTGCATTGACTGTGTAAATTGCTTTTGGTAGCATAGACAATCTCAACAGTATTTGTTCTTCCAATCCATATGTATGGAATGTTTTTCCATTTCTTTTTGTCTTCCTCTATTTCTTTCATAAGTGTTCTAGAGTTTTCAGAGTACAGATCTTTTACCTCTTTGGTTAGGTTTATTCCTAGGTATCTTATGGTTTTTGGTGTAATTGTAAATGGGATCAATTCCTTGACTTCTCTTTCTGCTGCTTCATTGTTAGTGTATAGAAACACAACAGACTTCTGTGTGTTGATTTTATATCCTGCAACTTTCCTCAATTCCTTTATCAGTTCTAGCAATATTTTGGTGGAGTCTTTGGGGTTCTTTTACACAGAGTATCATGTCATTTACAAAGAGTGAAAGTTTGACTTCTTCTTTGCCAATTTGGATGCCTTTTCCTTCTTTGTGTCGTCTGACTGCTGAGTACTTTCAGTAGTATATTGAACAACCGTGGTGAGAGTGGACATCCCTGTCATGTTCCTGGCCTTAGGGAAAAAGCTCTCAGTTTTTCCCTGTTGAGGATGATATTCCCTATGGGCCTTTTTTAGAATTATTCTATTAAAAAAATTGATAGTTAAAAAAAATTAAAACATTTAGCACAGTGCCTACCACATAGTAAGTGCTCAATAAATGTTAGCTAATATTAAAAAAACAAAATAAATGATAGAATTGCCTCAATAAACTCGTGGCATAATTCAGACATAAGGGATGAAGTAGAATTATGGATGAGCTAGCTATAATGCTGAAAAAATCCTTAAATATACTGGACTAGAAACGTCCTACACTAATAACAATGAACAGCCATAGTAAAAGATGTGATCTGGAAAAGAGTAACAATAAAGTAGTCTAACTTGAGTTCAGTAAAAATACACCAAAAAGTGACCCTGCACATTCTGAACAAATTTGTCAAAAACATAAATATCAAGATCTAATAGTCAAAGTATGATTTATTTAAGACCAAGTCATTAAGATTATGTCTGCCTGAGAAATCTGGTAGTTCACTAAAATGATTAAAGTTGACACATGGTATTCAGGACATTCTTCAGATTTTTACACTATTTAATTCAGCCTCTGTCAGTTAAGATTTTTTTGTATACCAGTAACATAAAACCTTTGTCAAAATAGATTAAACAAAAACAAGACACAAAACATTCTGAAGTAAGAAAGGTCTAGAGTTGGCCAATTTAGCAATTCAGTGACCCATCAAGGACCTAGAGTCCCACCATCCTTCTTGCTTAGCCATCCTCAGCATATCATGGATGGTGCCTCATGGTTTCAAGATGGCTACAGCAGGGCGCCTGGTTGGCTCAGTTGGTTAAGCGACTGCCTTCGGCTCAGGTCATGATCCTGGAGTCCCGGGATCGAGTCCCGCATCGGGCTCCCTGCTCGGCAGGGAGTCTGCTTCTCCCTCTGACCCTCCCCCCTCATGCTCTCTCTATCTCATTCTCTCTCTCAAATAAATAAATAAAATCTTTAAAAAAAAAAAAAAAGATGGCTACAGCAATCTGAGTGTCACATCCTCATGTTCCAACATCTGGAGGAAGAAAAGAAAATCTCTCCTTCTCACCTTTCCTCTCTCTCTCTCTCTTTTGATGAATCTTTTTTAAAAACCAAAAACCAGGATGCCTGGGTGGCTCAGTCAGTTAAGCTTGATTTCGGCTCAGGTCATGACCTCAGGGTTATGATCTCAGGGTCGTGAAATCAAGACCTGCGTTGGGCTCTGCTCTCAGCAGGGTGTCTGCTTGAGATTCTCTCTTTCTCCATCTCCCTCTACGCCTCCCCATACCCCCACCCCGCACACACGCACACTCAGTCTCTCTCTCTTTCTCAAATAAATAAATTCTAAAAAAAACACCAACCAATAAAAACTAATAACCTTTTCTAAAGGCATCTTCAGCAAACTTTCCTCCTGTCTCAGTAGCCACAATTGGGTCATGGCCCTTTCAAGACTCATCATTACAGGGAGAAGGGAATTTCCATGATTGGTTTGGGCTAATCAAGATAGATCACCTGTGGCTTGGATTCGCTTTCCTGAAGCACATGGTTAGGAAGAATACAGTGATACCTAAACCAATCTGGAGAGCTGCTGGCAAGCCTGAAGGTGTAAATAGGTTGGTTAGGCAGCCAAGAGCATCTGCTACACAGCCACAAAAATTAGCTGTTAAGTTTAGAGAAATCTGACTTCTGTCTAGATTACAGCATTTGTGGCTATTAGGAAAAAACCTTTTTTTTTTAGGAGAAAACGTTTTGAACCTCTATAGATTTGCAATTTATTTTGTCCTAGCTCCACACCCCTACATCATGAAAAATTTCGGCAACTGTTTTGTGTAGAAATTTTTTTTTTTTAAGTAGTCTCCATGCCCAGCATGGAGCCCAACATGGGGCTCCCAACTCATGAGATCAAGACCTGAGCTCAAGTCAAGAGTCAGACACTTGGGAGGGCGCCATGTGGCTCAGTTGTTAAGAGTCTGCCTTCGGGGGGCGCCTGGGTGGCTCAGATGGTTAAACGTCTGCCTTCAGCTCAGGTCATGATCCCAGGGTCCTGGGATTAAGTGCTGCATGGGGCTCCCTGCTCCACAGGGAGCCTGCTTCTCCCTCTGCCTCTCTCTCTCTCTCTCTGTCTCTCATGAATAAATAAATAAAAATTAAAAAAAAAAAAAGAGTCTGCCTTCGGCTCAGGTCATGATCCCAGGATCCTGGGATCGAGCCCCTCCTCAGGCTCCCTGCTCAGCGGGAAGACTGCTTCTCCCTCTCCCACTCCCCCTTCTTGTGTTCCCTCTCTCGCCGTGTCTCTCTCTGTCAAATAAATAAATAAAATCTTAAAAAAAAAAAAAGACGCTTAACGTACTAAGCCACCCAGGTGCTCCTCATGTAGAATATTTTAAAAGCGTGGCCAATCCCCAATCTGTAGGCATTGTGAAGGAAAGAATCTCACTTCACCTCATGGTCAGTCCTTAAAAGAATAAGAAATTAGGTAGAAGCTGCTACAGAAAAATAGGAGTTATCTGTGAATATTTATGCCGGATAACCTACACCAGGGCTATTTTTCATTAATTGAGTCAGAAGTTTTGTCTGGACCCACAAGTGAAATGGGGGTGTTTTTGTAGAGTAATATGTCTTTGTGTAAGCTAAATAATAGAATCACTCATTGATCAATTATTAATTGTAATTCTGAAACTTAATTTTTTTAGGGGGAGAGTCATCGAATTGGTTGTTTCCCATCTTGGTTCTCCTTTTCGTTTTTTTAATATTTCAATTATTTATTGAGCTCTACACCCAACATGGGACTCAAACTCCGGACTCCAAGATCAAGAGCCGCATGCTCCACCAACTGAGCCAGCCAGGTGCCCTTTCCCAGTCTTGCTTCTAAAAGGTATTTGCTAAATGAGCACCTGGGTGGCTCAGATGGTTAAGCGTCTGCCTTCGGCTCAGGTCATGATCCCAGGGTCCTGGGATCGAGTCCCACATCGGGCTCCCTGCTCCTTGGGAGCCGGCTTTTCTCTCTCTCTCTCTCTCTCTCTCATATGAATAAATAAATTTAAAAAAATCTTAAAAAAAAAGGTATTTGCTAAATAATGTAGAGATTACAGCTGAAAGGCTTGTTTGGTGATAATCACCCAAGTCCTATTTATTGCTATTGTGAATCAGCTGAAGGCACTGCTTATCAGTAGGAAAACATCAACTTTGGGGGCACCACCCCCTGCCTGGCAACGTGATTAATTGCAGAGACCCACTAAGGCCTTTTATACATTGTTATCCAGAGTTCGTTCAGATTTGTTGTTGAAAATGAGGGCCAAAATCAAAGAAGGAAGAGAGAGAGGAATTGATATTTCTTGGGCTTTACCTATGTTTTCTCCTAATTTACTCCTTATAACAAGTGTACACATCAGTGCCACATGTTATAAATGTAATACCTAAGGACTAGAAAGGTTAAGTGACTTGCTAAATTTATACTATTAGTAAGTAGTGGAGACAGCCATTCTGACTCTAATATCCCCAGAGTCCTCTCAATCATAATGCAGTGATTAAATGGATCTGCATTGCTCTGTACATTTATTTTATTTATTTTTTATTTTATTTTATTTTTTAAAATATTTTATTTATTCATTTGACAGGGAGAGAGACAGTGAGAGAGGGAACACAAGCTGGGGGAGTGGGAGAGGGAGAAGCAGGCCTCCCGCTGGGCAGGGAACCTGACATGGGGCTTGATCCCAAGACCCCAGGATCATGACCAGAGCCGAAGGCAGACGCTTAACCAAATGAGCCACCCAGGCGCCCCTGTACATTTATTTTAAAAAACACAGAACATTCAAACACAAGACAGTTATCTGTTGCTGAATGGTATTTTATTAGCTTAATAATTTGGGCCTGCCCTTAGCATTAATAAGCTTCAGCACTAATCACAAGATTTTCATTCACTGGTGGGGAAATTTGTTGTTTTAAAAAATGCAGTTAGAGAAAGGGCGTCTACTTCTTGGGGGCTGCCGTGACGGCAGGCTTCTCTTCACGGGTGATGGGAATGGTGCGCTCAGGGCCAGAGGCCTGCTTCCTTGGTCCATTCACAGTGAGGACCCCATCAGATGACAGGGATGAAGTAATGGCAAGAGGGTCCACATCAGCTGGGATCCGGTATTTCCTGTGGAACTCCCGGGAGATGAAACCATGTTCATCCTAATCCAAGAGAATGAGGAAAGAGATAAGAACAGGAAATAGCACCACTTGCTGAGAACTCAGACATCCTCCTTCCTCTTAAGTGTGACCATACGCCATTGCAACAAGAGAGAAAACCAAACAGCTGTTCTGTTTGGGGCTAAGATCAAGTTGCCTGGGTGGTCACTCCGACCAATGAGAGTCTGAGAAATTTGAAACAGTGAAAACTGCAAAGCTCTCCAAACTGAGGCATGGCTATTTTTAGGGGTATTTCTCAAAGGTTTAGATCAGTGTTGGGACTCCAGGATCTGGAATATTATTCAGCATTGAAGATCTGGGAAGCCTAGAAATTGTCCTGACTCTTCAGGAATGTCCCAGACCAACAGGACTGCTGCTAAAAACAACAACAACAACAACAACAACAACACTTCATCCATGGAGACTATGATCCAAACTTAAATCACATAAGCAAAACTGAAATAGCCCGAAGACCTCAAATTATGCTGTTTGATGCACAAGTATCTGAATTATCAATAATCGGTAAGAAGCAGACTCATTTAAAAACCCTCCCAGAAGTTAATGAGAAGCCGTTCCTCATTCTCTAGAATTCTGCTAAAAACGACCTGCCCCAACCTTTATACCAGCTGAATCTCAAGCATTTATGCAGACAGGCTCTCAATTAACTGATTTCCACATGGGCTCCAGGATTTTAGCTGCTGAGTGCAGCTCTGAAACTTAAGCAAACCAAGTAGTTCACCCTTTTAGACGAGCTAAAGATGAGAGGATTCTGGAACATCTAAAAGCAAAGTCGCAAAATCCCAAAGTCAAGAGCCTTCAGAGTATACACAACTCATTTAATTACGTAAAGTAACCAGGTGTCCAACAAGCACGATTCCTCCATCAGTGGTCCTCAACTTTGAATGGACATTAGAATTACCTAGGGAGCTTTTAGAAATGCTGATGCCTGGGGCCCACTCCTAAAAAAAATCCTGACTTAATTGGTCTGGGATATGTCTAAGCACTGGGATTTATTTTTCTTCATTCGCCTAGTGATTCTTTTTTTTTTTTTTTTTAAGATTTTATTTATTTGCGAGAGAGAGAATGAGAGACAGAGAGCATGAGAGGGAGGAGGGTCAAAGGGAGAAGCAGACTCCCTGCTGAGCAGGGAGCCCGACGCGGGACTCGATCCCGGGACTCCAGGATCATGACCTGAGCCGAAGGCAGTCGCTTAACCAACTGAGCCACCCAGGCGCCCTCGCCTAGTGATTCTAAGGTGGCCAAAAACCACAGGCTTAAATGGGAAATAAACATCCCATGTATCCCATCTAAGGCAATCAAATCAAAACAAACAACAAAACTCACTTCTCTGGCCCAAACAACAACAACAACAGGTCTATCTCTGTCCCAGACCCTTATGGCTTAAGACTGGAAGGTCGCCAGGCTCAGGGGCTGATGAGTGTCTGGCGTATCATATGCGCTGGATGAATGAGCAGAACAGAAGAGAAAACAAGCTACACACCTGGCGCTCTTCATGCTTGCCGTGCACCTCAATCACATCTCCCAACACCTTGACCTTGAGTTCCTCTGGGGAGAAGTGCTTCACATCCAGGTTGACAGAGAATCTGTCCTTCTCCAGACGCATCTAGAAATAGCAAGGTGGAGAAGAAGGGGTAGGAGAAAAGATGGTAGGAACGTGGATGACATTAGTGCAGTCTCTTCATTCTGCAGACTTGCTTGCTTCCAGGTAGTTTTTCCTCCTGTTTTTGGCTGAAAGTCCCTTTTTGAATAAACATGGCTCTCTGGTTCAGGGGAGCCACCACAGTGGTACCCAAAGCATACCGTGTGGTCATCAGACCCAAACTTTATTTACAGGGACAGGAGAGAAGACAGGCCACCCAGGGGAGCAATCACGAGGATGGGTCTGGGCATGGCTTCTACTGCCTCTCTGACCCCCATGCCTGGCCTTGCCATTTGTCTGTAAGACAAAGGCCCCTTCTTCTTACTCAGACCTCTGCCAAGTTCCCCACCCACTCAATCTGGAATGTTCTGCTGGCCCTGATTGTCCTTCCAAAGCCCTTGCTCACTCAGCTCCTGTTTACTCACACTTGAATATTTTTAAACCAGTGTTCTCTGTGACAGCTCTGTCAACCTTATCTGTTCACCCCATTCTCCCACCCTCTTAGGACAAGTGGGGGTCCCAAGACTGGACCTACATTCTTTACTCATTAGGTTTGAACTCAGGTCAGTGCCCTGTCACAGTCCTGAGAAACCTGGAAAATCACAGATGAAGGCATAGAAAGAAAGTAAATAGTGTTTGCTGTCTCCAGCTCCATGCAGTGGAGATGAAAAGCTCAGAATGAGGCAGGACTGCTTCCTGACACTGAAACTTGAGATGCTAACATTTGTCAGGAGTATGAGATGTTAGAAGAGGTGAGCAAAGGGGTCTGAAGGCAGCTCTTTCCCTGTAGATCTCTATGAACCAAACCAGAAAGGGGCATTCTACTTAGAAGTTAGGGGATGGAGGGCAATCTTCACAGCACTTGGAAAAAATGCAGTAAGTAGGATACAGCGGAGCATCAAATACAAACAGGTAACAGGGGGAAAGAAACAGTAGTAGCCTAGTCTGTCTTCACTGGTGGACATGCAAGTGCCTAAGACACTTAGACATAGCCAGATTTAGGCAGGGAGAAAAAGGAGAGCAGGTGGCTATGTTTCTAAGAGGTTCCAGGAAGAGCTCTCCTATCCTGGCAGAGACTTACCTCTGAGAGCCCGGTGTCAATCCAGCTGGGTGCCCGCAGGAATGAGGGTGGCCGAAGGTAGAAGGGGCTCAGGGAAGTAGAAGTTGGGAAGAGATCAGACTCTAACAGGTGCTCTCCGAAGAACTGGTCAAAGAGGCGGCTGGGGGAGTGGAAGGGAAAGAAGGGGCGGCGGATCCAGGGGTGGTGGATGGCGATGTCCATGGTGGCTAGGTGAGTGGAGGGGGTCAGCTGGCTGGTCAGCTCCTTCAGCTGCAGCTACAGCCAGCCCCTTATATACGCAGTCTTGTGAAGCTTCTGGAATGGTGATGTCAGGAGTTTTATTATCCCAGCTCACCACCCGTTCATGGAGACTTGTGATCGGGGATTTGGCAGTGTGACACATACCCAGTACTCACTGACCTAAGAAAAGAGAAATACAAACACGTCTGAGCTGGCCAGTGACTTGTCCTGGTCTTGTTTCACTAGCTTTCCGTCCACACCCAGTGGCATCCCCCCCTTCTCTGGAGTTGGAAGGGAGTCAGGAATCCCAAGCAGGCGGGTGGCGTGCCCCTCCTCCTCCTCTCCAGCCTAGTGTGCCAGGGGAATTGGGCCAGCAACTATCTTGGGCCTGGGCAGGAACTGGAATCTTCCTAGGCTGGGCCCCAGGGACATTAACTCTTTGTGGGTCCCTGGAGGAGAGCAGTGATCACCAACAAGTCAGTGTCAGGCATCTCTGTGGTGCTCGGGGTTGATCTGGGTTCAGGAGAGGACCCTGACATTAATCTGGGCAGAAGACCCTTCACCCCACCCCAAAGAAAGGGTGGGAAAGTTTCTTGCATCTTTCACCTTACGCAGCGCGCAGAACGTTAAAACCAGGAGAGCTTTATGAAGTAGGGTACAGGATGCATGGGACTTAGAAGGAGAGGAGGAGGTGTGGAAAATGTGCAAACTGTAAGGGTCTCGGCTAAGCCTCTCCAGGGCGTCCGGCGCCAGCCTCCCCTCCCCAGCTCGCTGCCCAGCCAGGACCCCCAGCTGTCCCCTCAGGCAGCCTGCGACAGCTGAAGGGTGTGCGGGGGAGGGCACGGGGGTCCAGGCGGCGCTGGTCACACACTTGTCGCTGGCGCTCAGGGGCCCTGCTCCTCGCCCCTCCCCCCCAGAGGCTCCGCACTATTTTGGGTGGTGTAGACCCCGCCCCCACCTCCGACCGAGCCCTGGCTCTCCAGGCAGCTGGAGGGGTCGCTGCTCTGTTGGGGCTGCACCTCGGACCAGCGCCGCCGACGCCTCTGCAGACATGTCGGGCCGCTCGGTGCCACATGCCCACCCGGCCACCACCGAGTACGAATTTGCCAACCCCAGCCGCCTGGGCGAGCAGCGCTTCGGAGAAGGTACGGCACAGACGCCACCCCCTTGCCTCCCACCCCCACCTCCTGAAATTCTGGGCTGACCTCCCAGCCGTACTGGCCTCCACCCCACTCCGGGCTTAACTGAACTCCTGGGGCGAGCCATCTCCCACCCCAGACTCCCCCTCCACCCCGCCAAGCGGGGTTCTTGTCCCCTTGCTACTGACCTCGCTGCAGATGCCCTGCCCGCAATGCCCGGATACCTGCCCCTGTCCCCCTTGCTGTGCCTTCTTACTCCCCTTCTGTCCACCGGTCCCCGTTTGGGTTGCCCTCCTCCACCCCCATCTCATTCCCTGTCTCAGTCCCCTCTGTCCTGCTGCCACCTTGCAGCCCCTGCGTCCCCCTGCCTCCTTTGCCTACTTGTCCTGACTGCCCGGCTGCTCTTCGGGTCCTCATCTCCTGAGCTCCTCATTTCACCCTGTTCCCACCTCATTCTCCCTCATCCTGCCTCTTGCCTTCTCTCTCTGCCCCTCAGGCCTCCTGCCAGAAGAGATCCTGACCCCCACCCTCTACCACGGCTACTATGTCCGGCCCCGGGCCACCGGAGCTGGGGAGGGCAGCAGGGCAGGGGCCTCTGAGCTTAGGCTCAGTGAGGGCAAGTTTCAGGCGTTTCTGGATGTGAGCCACTTTACCCCAGATGAGGTGACCGTGAGGACTGTGGACAACCTGCTGGAGGTGTCTGCCCGGCACCCCCAGCGTCTGGACCGCCACGGCTTCGTGTCTCGAGAGTTCTGCCGCACCTATGTCTTGCCTGCCGATGTGGACCCCTGGCGGGTCCGCGCCGCTCTCTCCCATGATGGCATCCTTAACCTGGAGGCCCCTCGGGGTGGCCGACACTTGGACACAGAGGTCAATGAGGTCTACATCTCCCTGCTCCCTGCACCTCCTGATCCCGAGGAAGAGGAGGAGGCAACCGGAGTTGCGGCCTGAGTGCCATGGAGCCAGCATGGGCGAACCCCCTTCTACCTCCCACGGTGATATGAGCAGCTGCCCACCACCCCAGAGGTAGCGGCATCCTTGGGGGAAGGGAACAGTGCATGGCCCACAATGTATGGTTTGGTCCCTTGAGACGTGTCATAGCTTTGGTTTAGTTCTGGGTGGAGCTGAATAAACCCAAATCTCAGGGCTTTGTTTGTGCTGCTCCCTATTCTGTGGCCTGGACAATGGGATGGGCAGGGAGGGGGGGGGTCAGAGCCAGCTAGACAAAAAGCTCCTCAGTTAGATGTGCCCAACGTCACAGCACCCTGAGCTCACACTTGGATGCTGAGATCATACCCGGAAGCTGACCTGACTCCAGATCAAATTCCCAGCCATAATTTTCTCACAATGCAACAAAAGAGAGAGTGATCCTGGGAGGGAAAAGGGATATGCCGTCCAAACAGCCCAGAGGGCACTGTCTGAGCTGGTGATTAGAGACACAAAAACAAGGGTCTCCAGCCTGTCTGGCCTGTTTTGGGTAGGGGTTGGGAAAACAGTTTTAGGCTGGAGGGAGTTGCCTAAAGCCCTGTTTTCCCAGAGTAAGGTCAGTCCACTGAAAATGGCCTCTCATGCCGAGCGGTGGAGTATGCGTGCACAGGGCACAGACACCGAAGCCTCTCCACTTGTCACCAAACCACAGAGTCTCTCCAGCCTGTGCAATAGGGGAGGCTCATGAGAGAAAACATGTACATCCCAAAGAGAGGAATCGCTGAATCACCCACCCAATCCAAGACTAAATGCAGGGGTCTAGGGCTAACTGTGAGGTGATGATGGCCAGGGAACCCTCTGTTGAAAGCAGAGGGTTTTTTTCTTTCTTTCTTTCTTTCTTTTTTTTTATGTCAGAGAGAGAGCAAACACAAGCAGGGGGAGTGGCAGGCAGAGCAGGCAGAGGGAGAAGCAGGATCCCGGCCGAGCAAGGAGCCCGATGCCGGACTCGATCCCAGGACCCTGAGATCATGACCTGAGCCGAAGGCAGACGCTTAACCGACTGAGCCACCCAGGTGTCCCAATTGGAAGCAGAGTCTTAATACTAGGGACATGGTGTGTTCAGGAAAGTGTGGGTGTCTGGCTCTTCAATTACTCTCTGTTGTTCATGCACGTGTTTGATTTGAGGAGTGTCCAGAAGACCTCCTTGCCCCCAAATATACGTTTTACCAGGTTGTGGTGGACACCTGAAATTCTTCCATTAAAGTGGTTGATTCGGAACTTTTTTAGGTTACAGACCCATTTGAAAAACCTAGCAAAAGCAATAGATCCTCTTACCAGAAAAAATACACATGCTATCAAATTTGCCTTACAGTTTGAGTAGGTTCACATGGCTCTTGAGATCCATTCATATACCCCTCCCTAGGGATCTGTGGATTCCCAAGATAAGAGCCCTCACTCAAAGAATTCAATTCGTGGTTAAAGCATTACCCCTTATCAAAAATGAAAGCACGCCTCAGAGAAATAACTATTGATATATTTGTTTGTTCATCCATTCATTCAACAAATGTTTCTCAACCCCCAAGTAATACACTATGGTAGATGTACATTATAAACATAGATTTAAAAAAACATGCTCTTTTATTGTCTACTCTCAGGAACCTTAATCTAGTTGAAAAGAAAAAGAAACTAGAAAGGATCCTATTCAGACTTCAACCAGAACAACTTCCATTGATCTATTTTGGAATTGTTATGTTTATGTGAGCTTTATTTCAAAGAGAGGGTACCTTGGCTAGAAAAAAATGGAAACCTCTCATTTAGTCCAAATTCCCATACCACTCAAATTCTTTTACAACTCTTAGTCAACTTCCTCTTGGGACATTTTAAGTGACAGAGAACTTAGAACTTCATAAGTTCTTATTGGCAGTTCTTCATCAGAACTTTTGGGATGTATTTCCTATAAATTCTTCCTTCTATTGACCCCAAATCTTCATTTCAGTAACTTCTCCTCATTGGTCTGGTTATGTCCAGAAAATAAATGCAATCCTTCTTTCACTTGGGAGTCCCTTTCAGATATTTTAAAATAACCATCCCATCCTCTTAAGGCTTCTTTTCCCAAGTAAACATACCTAATTCTTTTAACCATATCTTATAGGACTTTTTTAAAGTTTATTTATTTATTTATTTATTTACGTAATCTCTACACCCAGTGTGGGGCTCAATCTCATGACCCCGAGATCAAGAGTTGCATGCTCTACTGACTGAGCCAGCCAGGCGTCCCTAGGACTTTCCAAACCACTTATCACCTAGACAACTTTCTCTTGAACACACTGCCTTTTGACAATGTAACTCGAAATTCAACATGTAGACCTAAAATTATTATTCCAATCACGGGCTGACTGGTACAGACTTCAGTGGAATCATCAACACCCTTGTTTATCACTCTAGAATTCCATTAATGCTGCTTCAGGTATATCAGGCTTTCTGGGTACCACAATACACTGTTGATTCCTTTGGAGTTTCTGGTCATAAAATCTCTTTGGTGTTTTCCTTTACCCATTACCTCTTTAAATTAGAGAAAGTGGCTGAAAAGGGACCAGATTGTGGAGGGCTTTGAGTGCCAGGCTAAGAGGTTTGGGTAGCAGGATGAAAATAATACAGTTAATGGTAGAATACAGAAGGAATTGCTGGGGAGAAGCATAGTTGTGAAGTAAGAGGCTAGTGCAATGATCCAGCGCAAGATAATAAAGTAAGGTGCTTTGCCATCTGACAAGTAGCTGAGAACAAGAAGTAATAACAAGAGGGGCATCTGGGTGGCTCAGTCGTTAAGCATCTGCCTTCGGCTCAGGTCATGATCCCAGGGTCCTGGGATCGAGCCCCGCATCGGGCTCCCTGCTCAGCGGGAAGCCTGCTTCTCCCTCTCCCGCTCCCCCTGCTTGTGTTCCCTCTCTTGCTGTGTCTCTCTGTCAAATAAATAAAATCTTAAAAAAAAAAAAAAAGAAGTAATAACAATAGCTAGGACTTAGTGAAAGCTTCCCACGTGAGCCCTGAAGACAAGCCTTGCGGGTTTCACAAATTCTCCCAGAGCCCATAGTTTCTACAGAGGAATTTACTCAACAGCAGCTTACTCGCTGGAGAGAATGGAATGAGTCTGACGTTGGGTTACTGGAAGGAGAAGCTGGGTTGAGGTGGGAGTGGAGCTTCTGTAGTTCTGTGCTGGCCATGAGGAAGTAAGTGATCAGGAAGTGCTGAGGCCATTCCAATCATAGAACCATATGATTTTTGACCAGAAAGGGGGTTAGGCAATGAGTTGAGTCTTCTCGCCCTCATAGAAAAAAGCGATTTGCCCACATTAAGCCCAAAAGCAACAGAGACTTAAAAGGAATCCATTTCCCTAAATTTAAGTTTCCAAGAGACTCCCATATTCAAACCCAGATTCTGGACAGGGATAATAAGAGACGGATACAGGATACCTTGAAAGCGAAACTCCATTAAAACTGAGTAGTGCTGGGGAAACATAAGTTAAGACGCTTCACTCCGTTATAGAGGATGTATTTCAACGACAGTGTGGGATAGTAGAGAAACACTTCCTAAGGAAACCCAGAGCTCTTTTCTATCTCACGTTTCTTTTCGCTGAAGCTCGAAGCTCAAAGTTCATGGCTTCATCAAAGCAGCTCCAAATACTGACGGTGAGATAGCTCTCACCTGGAGCCCCATGTGTGCTCCTCTACCCCTTGGCTGGGACCAGTCACCTGGGAATCACTCCAGCAGGTGGCTTCCAAAGTCCAACCTGCTGGGTTGAAATCTGACACTGACAGAGACTCCCCCGGAGCCGCTATTGAAAGCTAAACCAGGAACCAGGAAATGCACCAGCCTCTTTCTGTAGAAAAACAGCTGGGCTCCTCGGAGACAGAACACCATGGGAAACCAGCTCTGCTGTGGGGGAAGCTGGTGAGTAGGGGCAAAGGGTGGAGGGTAACGTCTCTGTTGGTGGACATGGGGGCCCAGAGAAAAAGGGAGAGCCTGCAGATAGTTCTCTACCAACCTCCCACTGCCACCTCCCTCTGCCTGGCACATCTCCGGGTGCCAACACCAGAGCATTACCTCTTTCTGGGTTCACTCCTTTCAGAAAGCCTCAGAAAACACAGCCAAGCCTGCTGACTGTTGAGGGGCCAGAGCCGGACTGGAATGGTGAATTGGCATGGTTTCTCTTTGTCTTCCTCACCTTTTGCTGCCTTCCCTTCTTCCCCAGATGATAATCATGGTTCTAGTGTTTGAGAGCTTACTATGCTCCAGGCACTTTTCAAACAATCTCTTCCCAACAATGCTGAGGGAGGTGGCCTTACAGCTGAGAAGCTGAGGCTCAGAGAAGTTAACTTGTCCCAGGTCACATGGCTAGTGAGGAACTAAACCAATATTCCAACCCAGGCCTGTATGACTTCAGAGCCCATACTTTTAGCCAGTATTATGATACTGCCTCCCAAATCAAGCAAATACACTTTGGAGAAATGTCATTTAAAAGGGCGGTAGTGGGGAGATGGAGAATATCCATGGACTATTTGAATATAGCTTTCACATTTACTTACCGTGTAGCCTTAGGCAAGTCCTGTAACTTCTCTTTTTCCTCATGTATACAATATAGATAACATGACCTATGTTGTTTAGATCACAGGATTGAAGAGCAGAGGATATGTGAAAGCCTCACAATAAATTATTTGTAGTGTTTTTACTGTTCTTTCCCAGAGGTGTAACGGCTCTAAACCCCCAGATCTGGTTTTACCTTGTTCACTGTTTTCTTAGCTAAACCTTCCAGGGGATAGCGGGGTTCGATCCCAGAACCCTGGGATCATGATCATCATACCTGGGGATGTCTTGAGGATGTCTTGCTCATGAAAAAAATCATCATTATATTTAGAGAAATAGATAAGGTACATTGAAAAGCACATGTGATTTGGAATTGGTACATTGGATTCCAGTCCTGTTCTTACTAATTTATTTATTAAACAAATATTTTAGTGAATGCCTACATGTACCAGGTATAATGACAGGAGTTGGACACTCATCCAACTGAGCCACCCAGACGCCCTGACATCCAAGAATTTCTACAGAAAGGCTGTCACAGCTTCTTCACTTCCTTTGTTCCAAGTTTTCATAGCCTTCATTTTTGGTTAGTTCTTCCTCTGACGGTGGTAATCACAGCAGCTTTTACTGATGCTCATTATACGTCAGGCACCTAACTGAGTAGTTTACATTTTTTATATAATTCCTCCAATAGTCCATGGGGTTTAGGTTCTATTATTATCCTCGTTTTATTAATAAGAAAATGAAAGCTTGAGGAAGCTAAAAACTTGCTGAAGTTCACACAGCTAGTCTGATACCCTCAGTCTGACTCTAGAGCCTGGCTAGAAACACTACCCCTGATATTCCAACCAAAACATATCTTTTTCCTCTTAAAATATTAGTAGGACCAGGGGTGCCTGGGTAGCTCAGTCAGATAAGTGTCTGACTCTTGGTTTCGGCTCAGGTCATGATCTCAGGGTCATGGGATTGCACCCCGCATTGGGCTCGTCGTGCTCAGCATGGAATCTGCTTCAGATTCTCTCTCCCTGTGCCCCTCCCGCTCACTCACTCTCTCTCTCTCAAATAAATGAAACCTTAAAAAATTTTATTTTTATTTTTAAAGATTTTATTTATTTATTTGACAGAGAGAGAGAGAGAGCGAGAGCAGGAACACAAGCAGCGGGAGTGGGAGAGGGAGAAGCAGGCTTCCCCCTGAGCAAGGAGCCCGATGTGGGACTCGATCCCAGGACTCTGGGATCATGACCTGAGCCGAAGGCAGACGCTTAACGACTGAGCCACCCAGGCACCCCTTAAAAAAATTTAAAGTACTAGTAGGACTGGATGTTGTTCTCCTCTGTTTCTCATTATCTCAATAAATTACAGAGACTTCAAGACAGTATATCAATTAAAGAGCTTTTTATTTTAAAATATCATTATTAGGGCACCTGGGTGGCTCAGTTGTTAAGCGTCTGCCTTCGGCTCAGGTCATGATCCCAGGGCCCTGGGATCGAGTCCCACATCGGGTTCCCTCCTCGGCGGGAAGCCTGCTCTCCCTCTCCCACTCCCGCTGCTTGTGTTCCTGCTCTCGCTATCTCTGTCTCTGTCAAATAAATAATAAATAAAATCTTTTAAAAAAATAAAATAAAATAAAATATCATTATTATTATTTATTATTATTTTCTGATTACAAAAGTGACACACATTCACTGTAGAAAATTTGGAAAATCCCAAAGAGCAGAAAATAAGAAGCAACCATAAATATTCTAAATATATTTATAGCAACCATAAATGATGGGTACATTTTAGTCTATTTCCATGTGATCCCTTTTTTTTTTTTGGTATACCTCAGAGTTACATTTATTCATGCCACAAAGGAAACAACATGTCTACAAGGGTACAGCGATGCTCCATGTTCCCAACTAACAGAGATTGCTGAGACTGATGTTCCATCTGATGTGTACTCCAAGTAAAGCTGATTAATGATGACCATGAGCAGGTGCAGGACTTAAAACTTTCAAAGCTTTCCTTCTTTTATCAGCAAGCCTGATTTTATAAACAGTGAAGCCCATTAACCCCGTTCCTACACAAATCTCCTGGTAAACTGGGGTATAGTAGGCCTTCACAGGGATCCAAACATTTTTAACAGGCTTTGAATCATCTCAGCACAAAACCCCTGGCTCAGGCGACCCCAACCCACACGGCCAATGACTCGGAAGGGTCACCTCCATGTAATCCTTTTGAAATGCCTATGTGCATAGGTTTTATCCCAAAACATGCTTTATTATCTTTTTATTAACTTAAAGAGTAAGATTCTCATGCTATTTGATGTTCTTCCAACATGTTTCTTAAATGGATGTATAATGGTCTATTGATTGGAGATGCCATTTATTTAGTCAGTTCCCAATGTTAGACATACAGGATATTTCCTATTTTTTGCAGTTGTAAATAAGACTACAATGAGCGTCCATATTTGTACCTGCTTATTTCTTAGGATATGGAGTTGCTGCATCAGAGGGTACATACTTTATGGTTAAGCCTCCTTATACTTTTTGTCAAGTGCATTCCAGGAAAATTGAGCCAATTTTTATTCATACTACCAATATAGGAGAATACTCATTTAGTTTCTGGAATTCTGAGCTAAAAATAAAATCCTATCAACTATGAGTCTAACAGAATATTCCATTTAGGTTGTGTCCAGCCATTGTATAGTATCCAACTTGGGAACAGGCTCCATTCACTAAAACTGGGTCGCCGAAATCTGTTGCTTTAGAATTTATGTTCTCTTTATCCATTTAAGTAGAAGTAAGTAGGAAAACAGTAGCAACAAGGGGCAAGGAATTGGAGGCTAGGATAAGGCTATGACTAGACAGAGGTTTAAAGGAAAAAAAAAAAAAAAGGAAAAGCTGAAGTGGCAGAAGTAGAAAGACCTAGAAGCTTTTCTTCTGAACTACCTGTAAACTTCAGATGGTGATTCTATCTGCTCTGAACTCAGCAGGCTGCATTAAAAGCAAAAGTCAAACCAAAACACAAACCTCTGTCAAATATGTGTGGGGAAAATCATGATTTTTTTCCACAGTAGTAAAATGGACATGATCTAGAAGTTTCCCTTCCTCTCTCTATCTCTTTCTTTTTAGTTAGCAAAAGGAGGAAATTTCCTTGTGGAGACAGAAGTCACACAGATAGGGTTGGCTCTGGTGAGAGTTTGGAAATGCACTAGCAAGAAAAAGCATCCAGAGTAAGCCCCAAACTATTCAGCCTATTTCCTCAGACAAGTGTTTTTCTCTGGCCATCAAACAGTTGACAATCACATAGACACACTGGCTCCACCGGGGACCCCAGGGGCTCCGAAATGAGCCTGTCCTACAGCTCAGAAATGAGGTCTGTCCTGCAGCGAGGACAAGGTAGCTGAGTCACTCACCAAATTCAGAGCTCCCTGTGCTGTGCATGTTAAAGGTTAAATATCTCTCACTTTCTCTGTTAATTAAAAACAAGGACAGGGAAGCAGGGAGGGAGATGACCTGTTAGAAAAGGGCTTTCAGGGGTCCTAATTTGTTAGCCCTGGTTGTGGCAGCTTCTGTGACTCCCAGAGTGAGAACCCCGTGTTAGCAGAGACCCTGGGGAAAAAAAAAAAAAGGCACCGAAGCTGCAGCAAGAGGGTCTCTGAATCCAGGAATATCCCATTATTTGGCAGGCTTCCCTTACCCTCTGCTGGGATTAGCCTGTTAGACAATCCCAGAATAGCCCTCAACCCAGCCATATCCCTGGCATGTTGTGCCTGGTTGCCTGAGGCTGTATTTTGGGTTTGGTTATGTCAGTTGTACCACTCCACCTTCCAGAACCATCCTTGTGGGAGAGATGTGGTACCCTTGATAAATGCTTTCAGGCTGACTTAGGGTGAATCTTTGTTAGAGGGAAGTGAGAGAAGGTCATCCCAGAATGTTAAAGAGGCCACAGAACAAATGGTGAAGGTGGGAAGACTGAGGCCAGGACTCTTACACGTGGGTGATCTGTGTTTCTTTTCACAGGAGCTGCCCACCAACTTCCCAGAGGAAAAAGAAACCAGGTAACTGGGTGTTGGGGGCAGGGGCTTGGAGTGGTCGAATTAGAGAAGAGAAGATGCTGGAACCAGTGTCTTTGGAAAGGGCATAAGGATGAAAAAGAGGAGTAGCCTTGGAAAGGGATAAAGGGAGATAGTACACCAGAGAAAATCTTCCGGGGTTCCAGACCAGCTCTGAAACTCTGGGTCTCATCCTTTCCATTATCTTAGTGGCAAGGTTGGTTGCTCATTCTTTCCTTCACCCAGCAAAAATTAACTGAGCACTTATAGTGTATGTGAGGCACTTTGCTGGGTCCCGAGGAGGCAGAGAGGCACACTATCTTGGTCCTCGAAGAGCTCAAAATCAAGTTTGAGAGACTTGTTTACATATAAACAAGTAACTGCAATGCAATCTACTAGTGCTATAATAGATTCACACTCATACCGTGGGAGAATGGGAGAAAACACCAATGTCGAAGGACTAATATAGCAAGTTCTCAAGCTGGAAGAGGAACAGAGAGGAAAGGGTAGGCAGTGGAATTATCTCTTGCAGAGGAAGGAAGGATGGAAGGATGGAAGGAAGGAGGGAGGGAAGGAAGGAAGGAAAAGGAAAGGAAAGGGAAGGGAAGGAAAGGAAGGGGGAGGAAGAAAAGGAAGGGGGAGGAAGGAAGGAAGAAAGAAAGGGAAGGAAGGGAAGGAAGGAAGGAAGAAAAGAAGAAAGAAAGAGAAACAGGAAAGAAGAGGCTGAGTTAATTGAAAGTGACTGATTGGTGTGGCTGAGCACTTACCACATTGCACTGTAATAGTCTGTATACACATTTGTCTCCCCTAGTAGACTGTAAGCTCCCTGAGGCAGAGAAAATAGTCTGCTCATCCTTCTAGCCCCAGAATGTGGCACACAGCCTGGCAAAAAATGGGCTCTCAACATGTATTTGCTGCACTGTGTCAGGGGCCGGTGAAAAATGAGGCTGGAAGATATTATGGGCAGAGCATGTGAGGAGTTTGGATGTGGGAAGGGCAGCAGTGAAAGAGGTGAGAGCAGAGCCAGGGAGATTAGTTAGAAACCCACCATAATAGTTTAATGGAGATTCAAAGAGGGCAATCTCAGTAGAGACAGGGAAGAGAGGATGAATTTAAGTTGGCTTTCTTCCTTTCAGGGAGCCGAGCAGGACGGGCTCTGAAGCAGCCAAAGCAGCAGAACAGGGCAAAGGTAATGACAGGCCTCTGGCCCTTCCAGGGGGCTGCTCAGACATGTGATCTGAGGACTCAGCTTTTTCACCCTGCCACACATCTCCGTTATCTTGAACCAGAACTTGCTGGTTCCGCCCCACAAAGGAGCAAAGGGGTCGGTCAGAATTGCAGACCCTGCTTTGTGGGTGAGGGGCAAAAGCAAGCCAAGAATCTCCCTTAATGCTGTCTGTTTCTTGCAGGCCTGTGACACAAGAGGACATATTTGTGAACAGGTGTTAGAGAAGCCCACGTCTCAGGAGAGGAGTCGAGGCCTCAGGTTGAAGGAGAGCAGCTTACATTATGCAGACATTCAAGTGTGCAGCTCTACCCAGCCACGCTCTGCTCTGGAGGTGAAGAACCTGCAGTTTGAAAATGCTACGCAGTACGCAACCCTTCGCTTCCCCCAGGCCACATGCCATTATGACAGCAAGAACGGGACCCTAGTGTGAGCGCTGGGGAGGACAGACCTGTTTCCATCATTTTACCACTACTCCCCTGGGGAGACTCTGCACTGGGGAAATGGCTGGCAGCCCAGAGATGCCTGCCACGTTTTAAAGAACTCCAGAGCCCTTGTGAGTGCCCCCAGTCTTGGCCCCTCCCCTAGGCCTATCTTTTACTTGCCACCATTAGCTTGGAGTGGTATTTGGGTTAGCTAGGGGTGGATGGAGTTCCACAAAATGAGGGGGGCTAGGATGAGGGCGCAGGAAGTTTTTTGACCCCTTCCTTTGCTCCTGCTTTCAAGAAAAGTGCTTATAGGACAGGTTACCCCGGCACTTGAGCTGATTTTGTTGGGCTTAATTTAGTGGTGTCTCTTTTACACACCTTAAACTCCAAAGCTGAAGAAGGAGAGGTGCTCTGGAAAAGCATTCTGAGTTCTTGTGCACAGCCCCCAGAGCTGGCTTGGGCAATTCCTTCGGTGGTTGGGTCAAGGGTCCCAGAACCTCAACAGACAAACGAGGGCAAGGGCTGAGACGTGGAGGAAGCGATCTCTGACCATCGGTTACGAATACTTCAAGTCATTGACAGCACTGCATGGCCCGGAAACTCCCCTTGGTTGGATCGTTGGCTCTCGCAGGTGCGGAGCCGCTAGGATCAATAAATCGCATAAGGAACATGCCTGGTGCTTTTCCGGGGTGGGGGTCTGCAGGCTCTACGTAAGCGAAGCCCTCAGCCTGAGGGCAGCCGGGAAATCCAGACACTTCGCGCGCGGGACCCCACAGGCCTTGGCTGGGGCGGAGCGGGGCTCTGGTTTGGACGCCCAGGAGGCGGGTTTCCATCTACAGAAGGCGGAGCTCCCTGGGCCAGTCCTGGCATTCAGGGGGCGGGGCGGCCTCGGCCCGCAGGAGGCGGGTCAGGGAGGTAGGGGGCGGGGTCAAGGCCTGCTGGGGTTGCCGTCTGGGCCGTAAGGAGGCGGAGCCGGCCAAGGAAGGGGCGGGGCCTAGGTTGTCAGGGCCTGGCTCGCGCGGGCTGGAGGTGGGCGGGGCCGGGCGGGGGCCGGCCTCCGCGTCACCATGGCATCGGGAACGCAGCGGCGACGCCGTAGCAGGAGGAGGCAGAGCTCAGAAGGGCTGGGGACAGAGATGCTGAACCAGACACACCGATGATTTAAGAGGTAGGTGCTGAAAGCGGGGGAAGGGAGGGCGGGGGGGGGGTGCCTGGAAAATATACTTACCACTGGTTGAGCATTCAGATCAGAAAGAGGGACACACCGAGGGGTGAGATGGGGGGGGGGCGTTGCTGGAAAGAAGGAGGCGGAAGTTTCAGGTTCTGAGCCGGCTCTGAGCCTTACATGTTCTTAGGGTGAAGTTCCAGATTCAGACTTTCAGAGCTTGGAGTAGTAATGCACGTCCCCTTTCAGTCTGTATGCCATCCTTCCCAAATACCGATGCCCATCGATTTATCCCTAAGAGGGATGATTCCTTAGGACGGACACAGTACTGAGAATGGAATCACAGCGCAAAATAGTTGGTAAATCATAGTATCGACTTCATAGAATGTGAGTATTTAAAACACTTGGAACAGTGCATAGTATGTAGTCAAATGTAGGCTGCCATTATCATCATTATCATCGTTTTCCTGGCCTGTTCTCTGGCGTACACCTAGAGCAAGTGGATTCGGAAGAAGTGGCTAGAAAACTGCCTCCACTCCTAATTGGCAGAGCAACTCCCTAGCCTGTTTACTATTAGCTGGGGTGTAATACCATGAACTTTATTTCCAACAGTTATTTACTATGACGGTCCGATAAGATGATGTAGGTGATAACACTTTGTAAACTCAAAGTGCTATGTAAAAATTTTTGCCTTAAAATATAAATGCAGACTTTCTAGGTTAAAATGGAATTGCTGAGGATGAATGGAAGTGCCCATAAGCAGAGCTCCCAGTATTTGTCTTGATAGTCTTCAGAATTCTTACTGTGGTCATTTACTGATAATCTTAGGGAAGAGGGAAAATGCATTGTTGGTTGACTGATAGGGAAGCATTGCTCTTTACTTTATTACTATTAAGCCTAAGTGGCTAGTTTTTAAAATACCCCTGGGATAGTCCTGTTATGATGATAGTATCTTTGGCTGGACTTCCTGCTAACCAGGGTCCCATTTCTGAAACTTCTTGATGACATAAGTTGATAGATTTGGGGCAGGGGACTGACACTACTAGATTGGTTTAGCTCTGGAATTTTTTTTCCTGTCCTGTATTTTTGTACATTCTCCCTCTTCCTATTTTAAGGTGGCCCTGATCCGGCTTTTCTAGGGACTCTGAAGATGGGGACTCAAGTGGTTAGGAGACTCTGTAACTCCCTGCTGCCAGCAGAGCCCTCTGTAAGTTTCTGGTGTACTGTTGAAAGGAGTGTGATGACATTAATGGAATTTTGGTACAGTTCCACAACTGGGGGATTTCTTCGTCAAGACTCAGATCCTGGAACAAAATTGTCATGTATTTGCTTTCTTTTCTTGCTTCCCCTTCTTGTAGAAATTCTATCTCCCTTGATTCATTATTAATAAAATCAGGGAGAAGTTGAAAAATTATAGCAATTAATCAGAATATATGCAGTTTAAAAGATTTAAATAATGCATGTTAATTATAGGGCATTTGGGAAATATTGCAAACCATGATTTTATTTATTTTTTTATTTTAATTTTTTTAAAGATTTTATTTATTTATTTGAGAGAGAGGGAGGGAGAGAGCATGAGCAGCAGGGAGGGGCAGAGGGAGAGGGAGAAGCTGACACCCCACTGACCCAGGTGCCCCTAAAACAAACATTTTAACAATTAACAAACATTAAGTTTTAAAAAAAGCGAGAATCAAGTGGTGCCAGGGTGGCTCAGTCGGTTAAGCATCCAACTTTTGATTTTTGCTCAGGTCATGATCTCAGGGTCATGAGCTCCAGCCCTGCATTGAGTTCCACACTCAGTGGGGAGTGTGCTTCTCTCCTTCTCCCTCTGCCCCTCTCTCTGCTTGTGCTCTCTCTCTTTCTCTCTCAAATAAATAATAAGTAAATCTTTAAAAAAAATGTTTGTTTTATTACAAATGTTTGGTAAACATTATAATGGTTCTAATTTTCTTGACAATTTTTCTGTTTGTTCAACTTTTAGATTCCCCTCCCCCATTGTAAATAACAAATTGATTTCCTCATTTAAGACTTTTTTTTTCTTAGAATCAGGTTCCAGAAGTAGAATTCCTAGGTCAAAGGAGGTGAACATTTTAAGTAATAAGTTACCTTTTAAAAGAAGAATCCTGGTATCAAATTATATATACATCTTCCAAAAGGCAGAAGGTCATCAGCTGAGAGATAGAAGGGTTCTTGGTAGAAATCTGGCTACCTCTTGCAATGAGACCTTAGGTCCTGCAGAAAGATTATTTCATGATAGTGTGGTTAGTAATGTGGAGCCCTAACATATTATGAATTGGCAGTCCAGAGGCATGGGGGCTTGTGTAGTGCTTACACAGTAGAGACATTCAAGGGTCACTTCTAAAATATCCACCAGATGTCGCTAGTCTTAATCTCATTTTTACCTTAGGATAACCGGCTGATGACTTTTGAGATGTGAATTTCAAAAATTCATGTAGAATGTATTTGCATATCTGCCTAAGTACAGTTTATATTAAGCACTAGCATCTGGTGATTACTTTGGCAACATCCTACTCTAGGCCCTTACCATTCTGTCTCTTTTTCCCTTTTTCTTCCCACCCAGTCTGTCACACTCACCCTGTACACTCTATCCCCAGATACTAATATTGGATTCTTAGTTTTACTAGTCTTACTATTCTTTCTTTCAGTCTTGTTTCTTGCCTCTGTGTGTATTCATGTATTTATGTGTAACTGTGAGTTCCTTAAGTTTTTTTGCTAAAAGAATGGGATCTGGCATATAATGACATATAATAGGCACTCAATATATTTAGTGAATGTTTAATGAAAAAATGCATTGATGAAGTAGAAGAAAATATAGAAGGCTACCAGAAATTACTTATATTTGTCTTGGAAATACACTGAAAGAGACAAAGATTCCTACTTCTAAATTAACTAGAATTAAATGCTAAGTGATATAGAAAATGCTATGACCTTTGAATTATAAAAAGAGGAATATTCATTCATTCAGCCAGGATTTATTGAGCATCTACTATGTGTCAGGAAACATTTTTGGTTCTGGAGATAAACCAGATAAACCAGTAACAAAACATACAAAATTCCCTGCTCTCATGGACCTTACTTACATTCTGGGCAGGGAGATACTGACAATAAGCAAACAGACAAGTAAATATAGAATACACAAGACAGTGATGAATGCTAGGAAGAAAAATACAAATAAATTAGGCAAAGAGGAATGGGAGTGCCTGGGTGAAGGGGTGCTGTCATTTTATTTATTTTTATTTATTTATTGTTTTTTAAGTAGGCTCCACACCCAGGGTGGAGCCCAATGCAGGGCTTGAACTCACGATCACAGGATCAAGACCTGAGCTGAAATCAAAAGTTTAGGCTGAGCCACTCAGGTGCCCTGGGTATTGTCATTTCAGATAGGGTAGTCAGAGAAGGCTGAACAGGTAAAAGTGATATTTGAGCAGAAACCTGAAAAAAGAATAGGAATGAACCATGGGTTATCTAGGACTTGAGTATTTGAGACAGATTAAGATCAGATCTGCCTTGATTTTAAGAAAACTAAAAGTGGTCAGAGGAGTTTTATGAGGAAGCATAACTTGAACTAGGCATAGTAAAGATTTGAGTAGCAGAAGTGTGGGACATTGTAGGCAGAAGGACAGTGGTGAAGGCATGGGAGGTTAAAATGAGCCCTGGGAACGTGTGAGACAGAGAGGGGCCTGCTAGGCAATTTGGGAGAGCATAGGCAATTTGGGAGAGGGCCTTAAGAGTGGGGCATGAGGAATTTATATCTGACAAGAAAAAGGAGTGTTTGAGAACACTTGACCATTTGAGCAGGAGGACGAATGCATTGTGGCAGTAAGATTAACGCTGGCAGAAGAGCCAGGAGACAGAGAACAGTTTAGGAGCCAGGACACGTTTGGGGCCTTTGGCAGTAGATGTGAGCCCTTTTGTGTACATTTATGCTGATGTCTCTAAAGATAAATGCAGTAGAAATTGTAAACATATGTTACAGCCAAGAAACTTGCTAATGTGTGAAAATAGAAAAAGATTAAGAAATTATTTCAGAGTCATTTAAAATATTTCCATTGACAATTTTAATTATCTGTTTATTCAGACCATCTTTCTGCTTCTTTATAGTCATTAATGATTGCCCACGATAGATGTATTAAATTGACATAGGTGTGAATTTCACACATTTCCACATAGGGAGAAGTCACAGTCAATATTTTCACCGAATGACAGTGCTATTTAAGGCTTACTTAGGCAAACATATTATTGTCTGTATGAATATAAGTGATGAATGAGTTTGCCAGTGTTTCCTCCACTCATTCATTCATGCATTCAACTAAGAACATTTACTGAGTACCTTTTATGTCTCAAGCATCATATAAAAGTATTGATTGCATAATGATTAAGAACCTGGACTTTGGGGCGCCTGGGTGGCTCAGTTGTTAAGCAACTGCCTTCGGCTCGGGTCATGGTCCCAGGGTCCTGGGATCGAGTCCCATATCGGGCTCTCTGCTCTGTGGGAAGCCTGCTTCTCCCTCTCCCACTCCCCCTGCTTGTGTTCCCTCTCTCGCTGTGTTTTTCTCTGTCAAATAAATAAATAAAATCTTTAAAAAAAAAAAAAAAAAAGAACCTGGACTTTGGCTTCACCACTTAGCTAATTACTTATCCTCCAGACCCCTCTTTCTTCATCTGTAAAATGGGGATAATAAAAAACCCCTACTGTTTATAGTAATTGTGACCATCAAATGAGCTAATGTATGTGAGTGCTTAGTATAGGGCTTGGCACATAGTAGAAGTTCAATTTTGCTATCATTATGGTTGTCTATAGATATTTGGGTAGCTTTTAGTTGGTGAGGGAAGTATCTGTGCCATTACTGTTAAAATAATATAGGACCGAGGAGGTCTGGTATAATTTCAGAAATCAGGCAGCGTGGCAGAGATAGGCAAAAAGTGGCTAGTTTGGACCCTTTGCCTCTCCTCACAGGCAGAGTGAATGACAAGCCAGAAGTGGTGGGAGTGGTTCTAGCTACCTGGACTAGCTCTCAGTTTCCCCCTGTTCTAGCACTACAGGATGCAGATCATTGTCCTCGTTATTCCTGGTTCTTTTAGCTAACCCACTTACCCTCCCAGCTCTTATGCTGATGTGACAGCAGAGCGAGATGGGGCAGATGGAGGGAACAGTAAATGTTAGTGCTGCTTAGAACTAAAGCTCAGTTCTTCACCTGGGCTATTTGGTAAGGCAGACCATGATAAATATAGTGAGCACATCTTCTGAGCAAAAAAACCCCCTAGAGATTATATGCTCCAACAGGAATTTTGTGCTTTTTCCAAGTGTGAGAGGCAGTCTATATGTGAAAATATTATAATTTTTGTAACATTTCAATAATTGTATGGGGAAAATGGCACAGAATATTATGAAATGTGGGTACTATCTAAATTTAAATGAATTAAAATTAAATGCTACTTAAATTTTAGTCCTGCATTTGCATTAGCCACATTTTAAGTGCTTACTAATCACGTGTGGCTAGTGGCCACTGGATTGGATGGCACAGATAATAGAACACTTCCACCATCATAGAAAATTCTATTGCATACCACTACTGTAGGATATGTGGTTGATATAATTACAGATTTCTAGGGAATAGTGCAATTGTGGACCATATGCCCTATAATAAATCTTGTATCTGTTCACCACAGTTCCCTCCAGCATGCTGTGAGCCTCAGAGGCATTTGGTTCAGATCTTAGCTCTCATATTGATTTGCTGAGTTCATGTAAATAGCTCTCCTAGTCTTCATTCCTCCATGTGTGTCAAATATCTTTTTTTTTTTTTTAGCTTTAAAATCCAATGATTTAATGAGTCTTTTCCTAGGAATATTGAGCTCACAGGTCTTACTTGGATAAAGGACTTGTTCTTTGAGAAACAGTGACCTTTTGCCATATAACTATCAGCAGGACCTCCCTCTGATGTTTCAAATACTTACTTTGTCCAAAGCATGATGGGCCAGCAACCAATCAGAATCCTCTATCCAGGGACCCACCAACTGGGTGTTTTGGTTTTGCATCACTATGCATGTAGATGTGTTGCATGCAATTTTATGTTGTTGGAAGTTTCGTGCTTCTCTTTTAAAAGGGCCTTGTTGCATTAACATGGGTTAGTGACTCACCTGATCGTATTACCATGAGCTGTGGTCATGGCAAGGGGAATTCTTGGCAGTTAAATTCCCCAGTTACGAAGGACAGTGCTTTTCTGATTCATGGGCTGATCAGGTTCAGTTTTATTTGGTGCCATGGCTTTTCCCCAGCCTTTGTCAGAATTGAATACAGAGCATTCAATCAGCACCAGCCATGGAACACCTCTGGTGGCCTTCTGCTTCCTGCTTGCTGTGGTTGGGGTGGGAGGTGTGTCTTTCTTATAAGTATCATTGTGTTTAGCAGCTTTAGACATTCAGGCAATATGTTGCTAGTTCTGGATGCTCCCTACCAAGTTTCTTTTTAAGTGAGCTGAGGAGCTGAGGAGGAGGTCATTAGGTTGAAAAGAAATGTTTCTGACTTTTCCTCCTAAGGTACCAGTGGGTATTTGGGGAAGAAATTTGGGCCTTCTGCAAAATCATAAGTGTAGGGTCCCAGATCCTCAAACTGCCTTTATTACTGACCAGCTGTGTCCTTGGGCAAGGCCCTGACCTTCTTTGAGCCTTAACATTCTGTAAATCCTTCCCCTCCATCTGGGATCACGAGGTGTAATATAATATGGGTGTTCTTTCAGCTTCCAGTTTCCCTATAGAAACAAGAATGTGCACTGAGAGTACAAATGACTAGTAGTCCTAAAAATAAATAAGCAAGGCTGTGACTTGAATAACTAGAAACAGAGGGGAATAGCTCTCTATTTCATTTGGGGAAGCTTTTACCTAACTCTTTCAAATACTCCAGGGCATTTTTGTAGTATTTATTTTATTTTATTTTTCAAAATATTTAAATTTTGGTTAACATATAGTGTAATATTGGCTTCAGGAGAATTTAGTGATTCATTACTTACGTATAATACCCAGTGTTCATCGTAAAAAGTGCCCTCCTTAATACCGATCACCCATTTATCCCACCCCCCACCCACCTGTAGTGTTTATTTCTTTTTTTCTTTAAAGATTTTATTTATTTATTTGACAGAGACACAGCGAGAGAGGGAACACAAGCAGGGGGAGTGGGAGAGGGAGAAGCAGGCTTCCCGCGGAGCAGGGAGCCCGAGGCGGGGCTCGATCCCAGGACCTCGGGATCATGACCTGAGCAGAAGGCAGACGCTTAAGGACTGAGCCACCCAGGCGCCCTTGTAGTGTTTATTTCAATTAAAACCCATTTAATTCATTTAAAGCTCACTAAAAATATGGGCTTTACCTTTTAGCAGTTATTTTTTGTTATTTGTTTGTTTTAAAGATTTATTTATTTTAGAGAGAGAGCGACAGAGCAGGGGGAAGGTGCAGAGGGAGAGAGAATCCTGAAGTGGACTTCTCCCTGAGGAAGGGGGTAGGCCGTGGCGGGGCTCCCTCGCAGGACCCTGAGATCATAACCTGAGCCTAAATCAAGAGTCCGCGGCTCAACCAACTGAGCCACCCAGGCGCCCCTTAGCAGTTATTTTTAAAAGAAATACAGATATTTTGGGTAAAGCCTTGGTGATCCTTGGTTTCCCCTTGATGTTTCTGTTATGATCCTGTGGTATTTCTTTACCACTATTTCTATTAAATGTGTTCTAATACTGTTAATAACTAAAGCTCTATCCTCTTTTACCCCCCTCTCCTTCTGGTGGTTCTTCTCTTTCTCTCTCTCTTTTTTCTCTGTCCCTTCTGCTTCCCCTTCTTTAGTCCAGCCTCACTGTCCAGGCCCCTTACGGAAAAAGGTTGCTGTTTTCAGCTAGTCTGGGAGAAAAAAAATCCCGATTCACTCCCCGTCCCACCCGTCTTGTGGTGGAGCGTTGGGCCTTAAACCAGCAGAACGTGTGTGTGCGCGCGTGTGTAGCGCGCGTTCACGCCGGTACTCCCGCCTGCGGGCCCGGTGTGTGAGCTCGTGCGTGGCTGCAAGCGCATGCAGACGCCGGCTCGCCCGCCGGTGTGTCGAGTGTATGTGTGTGCGCTCGCGCGGATGTGTGTGCGCAGCGCGCGCGCACACATACCCGCACGCCCGCCGGGGGCCTGGTGTGTAGGTGTCTGCAGTGTAGGCACACACGCCCGCCCCCAGCCCGGTGTATGTGTGTTGTGCGGACAGAGAGAGAGAGAGAGAGAGAGAGAGAGAGAGAGAGTGTGTGTGTGTGTGTGTGTGTGTGTGCGGTGCGCGCGCACACCAGCCCGCCCGCGCGCCCGCGGTGCTCCCCCTTACGGACTCCTGGCCGGGGGCTGCCAGCCAGCGCCCCTCCACCCTTTGCGCGCCCAGCTGTTTCTATAGGAACCGCGACAGCGCCTGGGCCCCTCCGGCGAGGCCCGGCGCGAGCATGCCCAGTGGAAGGCGCTAGTTTGGCTCGGGTCTAGGTTTGCAGTGAGTGAGTGGCCTGCGGGACTCCGGAGAGATCCCCATGAGCTGAGCAGAGTCTTTGTGTGCGGAGGGAGGAGGCGGCGGCGGCCGCTGCCTGGCCTGGAGACCCCGCCCGGGGAGCCCCCGCCAGGAACAATGCTTGCCTGCCTGACCCGGGGGAACTTACTGGACGTCCTGCAGGAGGGCTTCAATGAGGTAACTGTCTGCTCCTCCCACTCCCAGCTCCTCTCCCCCCAGCGCCTCCCGCCTAATCTCTGGAAGGGTTCCCCGCCCCCATCCTCAGGGGGACCCCAGATCACTTCCCCCGCAGAGCCCTAAGGGGCCAAGGTGGTGGGTACGGTGCAGACGAGATGGCTAACGGGGAGAAATCTGAAGGGCCGCCTGCCTCCAGTTCCCCTGAGCGATGCCCTTCCCTGGGGGCTTACCTGAGCCCAACAGACAGGACCAAAAACTCAGAGGTCATCTCCTTCCAAAAGAGGTGGTCTCCACTCTTCCCGGGGATTCTCCCCAAGAAAATCCCCAGGGAAACCCGGCATGTATGGCAAGAGTGCTCGTTGTATTTCAGGATCTAACTGGCTGGGCCAAGTTAGGGGTGGGGTGGAATTGCATTGGTGGAAAGTTTGAGAGAGTTAAGGGTGACTAGGTGGTCCACATGAAGTGCTCTCTTCGTGTTTATATCTCTTTCCATTTTCCGGGCAGTGGATTTCTTCACAACCAAGGGCATGGTTGGCAGACAGGACCTAAGAGGAGAGAGGTTGCTTGAGTTCCTGGCCCCGTTCAGGGGAACCAGCATTTGCTCCCTTCTGTGTGAGAGTAGGGGGGCTGGACCGTCGATCTGACCGGCAGTATGGGCCAGGACTGGCTGGGGGTCTTTTTCTTTTCACTGTTTTCTCTCAGAATTCTGTTGTTTCTTCCATTTTCTTCTCTTGTGACGCAGGAAATTCTGGTTTAGGACTCTACCCCCCACCTTGTGGTTTGCTCCATGTGTCTTCCAATGCTTCCAAGCCCCACCCCTTTGGGTCACCTGATTCCAGCATCCAGGGAGACCTTTACAAGGAGAACTAGGCTGTTGGTTGTGTCTTTCATCTTTTCTTCCTCTTTCTTTTTCTTTCCACCTCTCTCTTTCTTCCTTCTATGTCCTTCTTAAATATAAGGCTTTTTGAAGATCAGTTTTTAGTTAAACAACGCATGAATCCATTCTTTTCTTAATATGAACATTACAGGCAAGACTCTGTACCTTTGGCCACCCCTCCAATCCTGGCCTGTTCCCCAGAGGTGACCCTTCTCATGAATGTGTGTGTAAGAGTTTCTTTCTCCCGCTGCACTGTACATTCTTTCCTCAATTCCTGTTTCTAATTAAAAAGCTCCGCAGCCGACCTGTCTCGGAACCTTCCCAGCCCTTGCCCCTGTGCCCCAGCCTTGTTCCTGACACAGAAAAACTGCAGAAATGCTGTCCCCACCTAATGAACCGAGTTGGGATTTTCCTTTGGCCCAGGGATGTCACAGCCTTCACGGAAGGGCGGAGCTTGCATCCTGCCTGCACTGCAGGGCTCCTCATTTTGCATCAACCCTCCCTGAACACACGTGAGGGGATTGTTAAGAAAGAGCCACAGTCTGAGAGATGAAACACCACGGAGCCTGGAAGCCACCTCTTTAAGTGCTACCAGTATTCCTGCTTCCTCTTCTCTCACTCTTGGCCTCTGGGGCTCCCCTGGTCTCAAGCTTCATACTGTCTGACCCATCTACCAGTTGTGGCAGAAGCTCCTTAGGTCCTTCTATAGCTTCCCGGCTTTTTAACTCAGCCCCTGGGTGTCAGGTCCCACTGTCTTCTTAGGTGGAGGAAACCAGCACAGGCAGCCCTAGCCTTTGCCTTCGGTTCCTTTTCAGTTCCAAACCTTTCAACCAAAGAGCCAAAAGACTTGGCTGTCTTTTTCATGTTTTAGTGCTTGCATAAATATCCCCTGATCTCCCATTCTGGTAAGACATAAGGGGAAAGGACAGTGGGAGAGTTTTCTGTTTGTGGTGGTAACACAGTCTCTTCATCAAAACAACGCACACAACTTTATAATGAACTCATCTAAAATAATGCAGTAATGCCCCTTGTCCCTGTCTGATGTTTGATTTTCCTGCCCATCCTGTATGCTTTCCTCTGTCCCCTTCATGGGCTTATGTAAAATCCATCCCTTCTATTTGTAGATTGGAACTCTGATAGCCAATAGGTATTTCTGATTTCTCTGAGAAATTGACATCATCTAAATACTACTCATAGTAATATGTTAAATCCCAATGGCCCCTGAGAGTTTAAATAATTCTTTCACATACATAATAAATTATATTAAATAATCCTTTTCACTTAGAGTATCATATCTAGTACTACTGAATACTGCTACAATTTGTTATTTCAGAGTTGATGGAGCCCTGATTGATTTATTCCAGCATCTAGAGTTGCTTGATAGATCTAGTAATATTCTATCTCTTTTGTTAGAGTCATGTGATAAGGATGTAAATAGGGACTTAAAAGCTGGTGTCAGAATACCCTTTGATTCCTCTGAGAAGCTCTTCCTACTGAGGCTAAGAATACCCACACATGTGTCCAGTCATCTCTGGGGAATGATCCAAGCTTATCTGAAACCATTCTTCATCTCCCAGATGCTTTATAGATCTGTGTGGTTAGGGCTGTGACCTCATTCTGTGTGGCAGAGAAAACTGCCACAGGAAATGAAGCTATGGCTCTAATTGGTTAATTATAAGGGAACCCTGCAGCAGAGAGAAACCCTACCCTCTGAATCAAGGCTTCCCTCTATCCATTGTTGGCCCTGTTCTCGGTCCATTTGCCAGTATGCGTAACTGTGCATGACGATTTTCTTCTGCCACCTTCCCTGGATAAAGCCCTTGCTTCAGCACACCTGACAAATTCCCCACGGAACTGATCTAGGTCAGTGTTGTCAGTGCAGTTCCCCTTACTGACATGGTTGATCTGCATTGTGAGTTATCCACAAATTTTGGCTACCGCCACATTCTCTAGCCTACCCTGGCTGTCATCCCCAGTCTCTTGTGCTCTGGGCCTGGCCAGGCTATCCACAGTTCACATTTTCCCCATTCTGCATGCGCCTCAAAGCTATATGTTTTCTCTGCTACTTGGTATTGATGTTGTCCTATGAATGTTGTCTTTGGTTGATGTGCCAACATAAATTTCTGCAAGTGTTTTTCTGGGGGCTGAACTTTCTTTTAAAAAGACTTGGGTGGTTGTATTGGAAGGTTTTGGTAGACCTGAGACTCTAACATGGTTTGGTCAATAAACATTCATTCGTTTGGTTATTTAGTTCATTTATTGGGTGAGGGGGTGGATAAAATAATTGAAACACATCTGGTTCCTGCTTCCAGAGAATTTGTAGGGAGAGATTTGTAGGTGTGCTGAAAAAAAATTTTTTAAACCATAATAGTATGCTTACCACAATAAGCATCCTAAAAGAGGTCGTGTTCATGGGAGATCATAGGGATCTCTTCTACTTAAGGATGTCCTGAAAAGCACCAAATATTTCCCAACCTGTCTGCTCACTGAAGCCAAACTCTTTTTTCCTGCTAGTGTGGCAAACAGGCATGGAAGCACTCATTCTACAGGCATTCACTGAATTACTGTGTTCACCAGACACCAGCCAGGCTCTGGAAATAGAAGTCGAATAACATAGAGTCTGTTCCCTAGTGGAGCTCACAGGTCAGTGAAAATAAAGTAAATGTTCAGAGTATCAAACTTGGGAAAATTGTGGTGATATAGAAATCTTGTTTGTCAGGCAGAGCGAACCTGAGCCTGGCTGTGGTGTAAATGGCCCAAGGGACTGAAAGTTATGGGGAATGACTTATTAAAATGTTGGTCAACTGGATGGGAGTTGTCTGAGCCTTAATTTTTGAAATGCACAACCTGGAAGACTTTGCCTACCCGTTTCCCTCCAAGTAGAATAGTAGAAACTTAGATCCCACATGGAGATTCATCTGCGTGGCAGTCCCTGAGAAATACAAGGAGAGCCTTTGTCTGGTGTCATCCCCATAAGGGGTACATAGGATGAATGAGGAAGAGGATTGGCAGGTTGGAGTGGCCGTAGCAAACATCACTCCTCCGAGCCCTGTGCCTTCCATGAAGTAGGATTTGCGACATGGGGCCAACCACAGGCTTTCACACATTTCCACAGTGAATTCCTCTGTGCTTTGCTGTAGAAATTAAAAGGCCTGTTAAGTCTTTAATGTAACAAAGCACTATTACTCCCTAACCCTTTTTTTTTTTTTTATCCTGACTGCTTCCTCTTCTCCTCACCCAGGCTCATTGGCTTTGTTCCCACAGGAGTCAATGCCAGCTAAACAGATGCTCCCTGGCAGCAAGCTCTCAGGCAGCTTTATGTTCCTCATGGTGAGTGATGGGCTGGCCAGGCGTGTGGAGCAGTGATAGGGCACTGTTTGCCAGGTGCCGCTCCCCCAGGCACTTCAGAGAGACTGGGAAGAACTAGAAATGCTTCATTGGCCGTGACTGGCCTTGTGTAGGTGGCAGGGACCAAAGTCTCAAAATGACACTGGACTGAATATATTTCCTTATGTGTTATCCCCAAACCAGGCCCCACTGAAGTAGTCATGAACATGACCTTCAATGGTCAGGTATGATAAGGGGACAGGGAACCAATCCCAAAGGCCCTAAGAGTGGGCTCCATGCTCTGTTTCTAGGATAGGGGACACTCATCTGCAGTGATGTCTGTCTCATTCATTCATTCATTTATTCACATGCATTTATTGAGCACTTACTTTATAACATGTACTCCTGAAGGAACAGAGTGTTTGTGGAACTTGTAACTAGTGGGAATTTTAAAATAAGGTTAGGAAATGAAATATTTCATAAAGTCTTTAGTTTTTCACTTTGTGGTATATCATCCTTCGACCACTGGGCTGAACACTAATATGAAGAGCATGGCCCATATAGGAAGAAGAAATGTAATGATATTTTTACTTGTGAGCTTCATTTTTACCTAATTAGCCACCAGGTTCAATGAGTAAGTCGCCTTTCCTGGCTCAGTAAAGGCCTGAAAGAGTTAATAGGCTACACCATATTATGTTCTCTTACTGGCAGAATTCAGGCCAGTAATAACTCAAGCTTTCCAAACCTCCTGCTTTCCCCTCAGTTTCTCAGCAGCGTATCCCCAACCCCTCATCTTCTGCTGCTGGAGGGTCTCGGTCCCACACAGGCATCTGGTTTCACTGTGAAGCTGATTTCCTTCCGGAGCCAGTCAGGTCTCCTCCTGAACTCTCCAGCACACCACCAGAGCCCCACTGCTTCTCTTGTTTGTCTTTCCTGCTTGCCAGCAGGGAGCCACAGAGCTCAGTTTGGGATGCTTTCTGCACTAGGAACAGTAGATGACAGACTTTCCTGGTGAAGCCCAGTAAGTGCTCTTTGCAACTCTAACCAAAGAAGTCCCCTGTAGGAAGTCTCTTTGACCTTGAGGCTTAGAGGAGATAG